CCCAGCCCCTGGCACCCACTGTTCTACTTTCTGCCTCTAGGAACCTGACTCCTCTGGGTGCCTTGTATAAGTGGAATCACATATTAGTTGTCTTTTGGGGACTGGCTCATTTCACTCAGCACAATGTCCCCAAGGTTGTAGCATGGGCCAGAATGTGCTTCCTTTTGAAAGCCGAATGCTGTTCTGCCGTGTGGTTCTTATACATCTTCTTTATCCATCATCCATCGGTGGACACTTGGGCTGCTTCCACTTCCTGACCATTGTGAGTGATGCTGCTGTGAACATGGGTGTGCAAGTATCTCTTCCAGGCCCTGCTTTCCATTCTTTTGGGTATATACCCAGAAGTGGGATTGCTGAATCATCTCATACATATTTTTAAACGGGCACGTGGGAGCACAGGGAAGGCTCTCAGACATAAACAAATCGTTATTAACTTCGTCCTGGTCAAGGAAAAATTCCATCAAAAAACAGTTTGTTTTGGGCTTCCCTGGTGGCGCAGTGGTTGGGAGTCTGCCTGCCGATGCAGGGGACACGGGTTCGTGCTCTGGTCTGGGAGGATCCCACATGCCGCGGAGCGGCTGGGCCCGTGAGCCATGGCCGCTGAGCCTGTGCGTCCGGAGCCTGTGCTCCACAGCGGGAGAGGCCACAACAGTGAGAGGCCCGCGTACCGCAAAAAAAAAGCCCCAGAAAAACCCAGTTTGTTTTAAGTACGGATGTGAAGGGGGCCCACACTGGCAATTCACTCTAAAGCTTTGTGGAACCATGGTCTAGGGCAGGTGAGCTCCCCTGTGGATGTGGATTAAGGAGAACGGGGTTGGAGGCGGGAGAGAGTTTGGTCTAGGTTGTGGAGCGGGTGAAGCTGGGCTGAGGACAGGCCCTGTGGCGGCAGCAGTGAGCAGAGCATCAGCCGGGCTGGGAGCTCAGGGGCGGGTGGCCCAAGCCTGCATCCTCAGTGGCTTTGTCAGACCCTGTCCATTCCAGCCAGAGCTCCCATGCTCAGACAATGGCAGGAAACAACTGGCACCTCAGAATGGTAACTCAAGGAGTCTAATAAAGGGATGCTTGTAAAATGTGGGCAGAGTGTGGGGAACCACTGTACTTATGGCGAGTACCAGAGGAGCTGTCACCATCCCCAGGCCTGAAGGAGGGAGGGTGGGAGCGGTCACTGCCGCCTGGAAATGGCTGGGGAGGAGGCTCCCTCCGGGGAGGTGTGACCGTGGTGTGAGGGCCTCGGCCAGCGCATCCCGAACTAGCGACCCCTCCTGGGGCTCCCGACTGTCTGAACCCTGCGGGCAGCAGAGGAGACCGGGAGCCCACAGCGGGTGGGGGCCGCTGCAGGGCGCAGGCTGGAGAAGACGAGGACCCACGGGGGCAGATGAAAGACTCCAGGGGCAGCAGGGAGAGAGGAGGCCCCGCTTTTCATGCTGAGTTGAAGGCGTGTTCAGCTGGGCCGTGCCCACTTCAGGCCCCTCTGCCCCTGCAGACCCTGGTCTCCAGCGCGGTGAGCTGCTGCTGCATGGGGAGGGGGCACTTGGACTCTAAACCTCCGGCAAGTCCAGGGGCGTGCAAGCCGGGAGACAGGGCCGGCTACCTTGGCAGGAAACCCTGAGCCTCAGCATATTCTTTTGAACATAGTAACCGCATTTTATCTGCATTCTATATCCCTTCAAAAATATTTATTTTTAGTTTGGCTTTCTTGCTTATTCTGCACAATTCCAACAGCTTGTGGCCGAGGCGCTGTGGTCCCTGGAGACATGATGGGCCCTCCCTTCTCCGAGCCCTCACTCCTCCACCCCTGGTGATCCTGCCGGGGCGGTGGAGCCCTGTCATTAGTCTGTGGATTATAGTCAGGGGAGCACTCCGCAGCCCCCAGGGCCCCTGTGCTGCAAGGGCTCTGAACCCGGATCGCTTCCTTGGGTTGTCAGATGTGAGATGGGCGTCTTGTGCTGGAGAAGGGGCTTGTGCGGGGGAGAGCCTTGATCGATGCAGGGACCCCCGCCAGCTTGGCCAGGCCCCTGAGGGGGCGGAGGGTCAGCCTGGCCCAGCTTTTTACATTGAAAAACTTCTTTTTATTATCACCTCTTTTCTTCAAGTCTGTTTATATTTCTGTTGATTTGCAATCTGTGTATATATCCTTTTTTTTACTTCTGCATACCAGAAAAGCTGTCCCACTCTCACGGTCTTGGTTAATGGCTGCAGTTTCACCGAGTCTAGGTGCCACGCCTGGATTTTCAGTGTTTTTCTTGGCCTGATTGACGGGTTCACATGACACTCTGCCTTCCTGCTGTCAGATGCTGCTGAGATGGGACGGAAGGAGCTGGAATGGGAGTGACACCCCAAGGGAGCCTCTCCTGGCCTTGGTTAGCACTGGGGACTCCTCTCATGGTGCTGAGCCCTCCCGACCCCTCCTGATGGCTGATCTGGTCTCGGGGAAAGCTCGTTGAGAATCCTCAAATATTTTATAAACATTTTGGGGTTGGCAAAAAGCTGGGCTGTGTTTTGCCAAACACATTTGCCCTCGACTTTTTTTTTTTTTTTGGTGGTACGCGGGCCTCTCACTGTTGTGGCCTCTCCCGTTGCGGAGCACAGGCTCCGGACGCGCAGGCTCAGCGGCCATGGCTCACGGGCCCAGCCGCTCCGCGGCATGTGGGATCTTCCCGGACCGGGGCATGAACCCGCGTCCCCTGCATCGGCAGGCGGACCTCTCAACCACTGCGCCACCAGGGAAGCCCTGCCCTCGACTTTTAAACTGATGCGCACTTTGAGGGAAACAGTCTGCAGCCTCTTCCCATGTTTACTTAATTTACGCATATGTTGTTTTCTTAGAGGCCTGGTATGTGCTATCCAAGAAGATGGGAAAACGTTTCTTTCTTACTTTAAAAAAAAATTCTGTTTCTTAGAACTCAGGAAGTTGGGTTCTTCCAAGAGAAACTAAGCTTGACCCCAGGGCCAAAAAAAAAAAAAAAAAAAGTGTGAATCAGCTTGAAACTACCCAGGAGATTCTAAATCCCCATCTACAAGATACCAGATATCTAGATGAAATTTAAAAATCTGATCGAAATCCTTAAAGTAATAAATATGACACTCCCATGTGTTATTATTTGAATTCATCAGTCTCCCCGTCTGTGAAGTGGCTGTTAGGTCTAACATTCCTTTGCTTCTGTTGATTTTCTGGTCCCTGAATTCTTCTCCGATAAAGTCAGCGCAGTTTGCTGTTGGAAGTGCTTATATCCGAGATGGAAACACTTTTACCTGAAAAACAAGCCCTACTGTGTCCAAGGATGGAGGACTCCTGGGCTGCTTAATAATGGTCGAGTGGTAAACATCGACCCCACAGCCAGGGTGAGAGTGAAAAGATCTGACAACTGCCCCGTAAGAGGATGACCAGGTGCACTTGGCCGAGACCCCAGAGTGCGGGGCCCTCCCTCCGTCCCGGACCTCCACCCTCACTGTGTCTACTAATCCACTGTTTCTGCCAACTGCCTGAATTCTGGCCCCAGGGGCCCCTCCTGCTTGGGTGTGAGCTATAGCTTCTCTCCCAGATGCTCCTCCTTTCCTCCCGACAGACACGGGTACTGCGTAGACCCTTCCTTGCCTGCCACACCCAGGCTTCTGCTCTGTCGACCCTCTCGCCACGCTCTGTCCCAGCACGTATCAAGCTCGACTGACTGTCCCTCCTTCTGGGCTGGCTGCTCTGTTTGAAGGCAGGGAATGTGTTTTAATGATCTCTGTTTCTGTATTTGTGTCCTGCGGCTGCTGTGACCAATGATCACACTGGGTTTCCTTAAAGCAAGTTTATTCCGGCGCAAGTCTGGAGGCCAAAAGCCCAAAATCAGTGTCACTGGGATGAAATCAAGGGGTTGGCAGGGTGGGTTCATTCTGCAACCTGTAGGGGAGAATGCCGTTGCCTTTCCAGCTTCTGATGGCTGCTGCACCCCTTGGCTTGTGGCTGCATCACTTCCGTCTTCAGGGCCAGCACCTGCAAATCTCTGCTCTCTCTTCACGGTGCCTTCTCTGTGTCCTCAGATCTCCCTCTGCCTCCTCTGTGTGTGTATTTATTTATTTATTTATTTGGCTGTGCCGGGTCTTAGGTGTGGCATGAGGGATCTTTAGTTGCGGCATGCGGGATCTTTAGTTGCAGCATGTGGGCTCTTAGTTGCTACATGCAGGATCCAGTTTCCTGACCAGGGGTCGAACCTGGGCCCCCTGCATTGGGAACATGGAGTCTTAACACTGGACCACCAGGGAAGTCCCTCTGCCTCCTTCTTATAAGGATGCTTGTGATGGCGTGTAGGGCCCACCCTGATATCCAGGACAATCTCCCCATCTCAAGATCCTTAATTAATTGCATCTATAAATGTGTCTTCTTCCAAGAAAGGTAACATTTCTAGGTTCCAGCAATTAGGACCTGCTCTCTTTGGGGCCAGAATTCTGCCTACCACAGTGTCTGTCCCCAAATGTAAGAACAGCTCACACCTAGCGTTTACACAGCGACACAGGAACACCGTGAGATAGGCATTGTCACTCTCCCCATTTCAGGTGAGGAAATCGAGGCACAGAGAGGTGAAATAACTTGCCCATGGGCAGCCAGTAGCACCACCAGGCTTCTAGCCCAGGCATTCTGGTTCCGAAGACCATGCCCTTGGCCTCTGTACTTCCTGCCTCTGCAACATGGGGTTTGTTGAATGACTGAGTGAATACAAATAGCTGAAAAGTTTGAAGAAGACTAAAAGGAGATGACTAAGAAGGGGGAGGGAAGGAGGGGAGGGAGGAAGGATTCCGGGGCAGGCTAAGTGCCCCCTGAATTGCTCCTGGCCCCCACGATTCCTGGGATTCTCCCAGACTTAAAGCATCATTTCAACACACTAGTCACTACTGGACTTGCTGCAAACACTCGCCGCCCCCTGCTTTCTTCCCTTCCCCCCCATCTCAAACATTCTGAAAGAAAAACGGGAGCTGGCATGCCCTGCTGTGCTCATGTCTCCCCTCCTCATCTGCAGGGCATGAAAGCTACGTGACCTTCTGCCAGCTGGAGGACGAAGCCGCCTTCACGTGCAGTGCTGACTGCACCATCAGGAAGTGGGATGTGCTGACCGGGCAGTGTCTGCAGGTGTTCCGGGGACACACGTCCATTGTGAACAGGTTGGTGTGCCTGCCAGGCCTCTCCTCATGGTACCCGGCCGAGTCCCAAGGGACAGAGATGTAGGCTGTGGGGCCTCTGCCCTGGAGGAATTTAGCTTCCCTGGGGAACACGTGTGGATGTGCGGGGAGGTGGTCCGGAGCAACAGCAGTGGAAGGACAGCAGTGTCCCCAGCGCAGCAAGCGCTAACTGCCCAGGGCTGCAGGTGGGGGGGGGGGCAGGGAGGCACCACCAACACTTAGACCAGAGCCTGAAAGCCCTCCCATGGCCCTGGCAGCACAGCTGCCCCCAGCTGGGTGCAGGGAAAGGGGTTGGAGGCTACAGCTCCCACCGAGGGAACAAATTCCAGAGGAAATGGCTTAATTGGTACCTGATGGTGGACTGGGGGCTCGGAGGAGGGGCAGAATGGGGATTGTTCTGAAGAGGGAGTCGAGGGTGTTTTTAAACCTCTCCTTTCCGTGTTGCTGTTGAAGATATCCCAGACCCTCCTTCTCATGGAGGTTTGAAGTTTTGCAGAAATGTATTGAGTTTGGGTCTGAGCTGAGCCATGGAAATTCCTTGGTGATCAGATCAATTGGTCACTATCTCTGCAACTTGGGGCCATCGCAAACTCCCGAGGGAATGCCCGGTATGAGCAGGAGTCTGGGCACCGGGGCCCTCGTGACCTCACTAGCCAGGAAGGGCAGCTTCCCGGGCAGCGAACTAAGCAGGGAAAGGGCCCAGTGCAGGCGGGCGTTTGGCGGGGTTGGGGGCAGGGACGGAAGGATGTTCTCAGCCAGAGGAGATGCTGGCAGCTGAGCTTTGTGGAGCCTGGGTCCAGGTGGGACCCGTCTGGCCTAATGTTCCAGCGCACGGTGGGTGGAAGCGGTGGGTCAGCCCGATCATTAACTGCCTGGAGTACCAGCTGCCTGCAGACGGAACGGTGCTCCCACAGGGTGGGAACAGGGGAGCATCCCTGAGCAGAGAGGCACAAGGGTCGTGTTGGCTCAGTGGGGAAGGACCCCAGTGGGGACCCCATAGAGCTCTGCCCCAGCCCCTGCCTCCTGTAGCTGAGCGTTTATCCCACCTACACCCCTTAGATAGAGCAGGCGAGGCCCGGGGTCCTGGGAGACCAGCCAGCACCACGCAGGCTGGGGCGGAGGAGGGCTGGAACTGGGACCCGTATTTCAGCTCTTGCTGGCCTCTTCCACACTCT